TTAAATCAACAGTTAGAAGATTTAAGTCACCAAGCAACAAATGCAGATAAACTGATGCAGGATATTAACGAGCTCAAAATTCAAATACAAGCGGCTCATGATGAAAATATAAAAAAACAGCGAGAATGTAGTCAGCATTCTAAAGCGTTGTGCAAGCTCAAGAGGCAAAATGCCAGTATCGAAGATTTGAAACGTAGAAATCTGGATCTTCAAAATAAACTACAAGAAGCTCACAAGCAAATTTTAAACACGTGCAGCGAAAATGACATGTCTGGCAAAGTTGTACACGAAGAAAATAATAATACTAGTCAACATATTATTTTATTGATAAAAGAAATACGATCCTTGAAAGATGATATAAAAAAATTAGAAACACAGAAGGTAATTTTCGATCATGACTGCTCATATTCATAGTGGTTATTTATGCACTTACATCTATTTATAGAGGGCTTTACAAGACCTCGTAACATCACAGCAAGTAGAGATTTTACAACTACAAACATCTAAAAAATCAGACGCACTTGCACGCGTCAATGTAAGTTAACTACTTCATTATTTATCTTTTTTAAATAGAGCGTTTTTGATTATTGTTGAAAATTTTGCATTGAAATTAGGCCATAGGAGCGTTGTATAATAAATCATCTAGTGCAATATTGCAAGATCAATCGTTTCAAACGTCTTCAATTCATGATGTAACTGTGTCCCCTATTACCGATAATATGGAAATTGCTTCAATGTCTTCAACAGTTACGGATACAAAAAATTTAATATCGCAGGTAAAAGAAATAAATCGAACGATCCCTCCGCAAAACAAAGCAAGCCAAATAAAAAAGAAATCAATTAATCAGCCCACAGCAGAACCAAAATTAACTGCAGAAAAAAGTCGAGGAAGAAAAAGAAAGAACCTTGACGAAACTATATTATCTTCAGCAAATATAAGTCCTGAAATTAAAATGGAATCGCTAAAAAGAAGAAAAACCGTTAATAAACCTAGAATTAAACCTAAAGCAACAGAAATATTAAGTCACATTGATGATTTGGCTTGTAAGTAATTAAAGCTTTTGTAATTTTAATATGATTATTCGTAATAAGTAGTAACTTTTATAAACAGTCATAAAAGAAAAATTGTTTGATTTTGGATGTCATTCTCAAGAAGCGATTCGGTCAATTGACGTATTTCGTCAATTTGCATTTGAGAAAAGTCCCGTTCTTTTTCAAGCAGTAGATGAATTTCTCCATCACATAGATACACCTTTGTATCTAGGCGATATTGACAATAATGACCAATTGAAAATTTATACACGAGTAAATTCACTCTCCGTACAACTACCCGCAGTATTGCCTTCAAAAGAAACAAACGTAATACTATTTTTATGGCTTCTATTTGTCGAGTTTCCAGCGGTAATTATGTCAACTTTTTTATAACATATTGAACGTTATAACTTCTCTGAAACTTATTATAAATTTGTGTAATGTGATAGAGCAAATTGGTCGACAAGATGCTATTTTGGTCAAGTGAAAAAATTATGGTCGCGGGAATTTCAGGAGAGTCACTTGATTTAGCATATTTGTGGTAAATAGAAACAAATCTCTTCTATCAATTATGTTGATATGTACGTTAATCACATTTACATTTTCTTCAGCCGTCTATATCGTATATTCATTGCATTTTGCAGAATTATTAATGATATTCAGCGAGCTCGCACCTTATGTTATGATATCATGCGTGAAAAAACAAATAATGATTCAGTTCATTATTTCATGGAAAATACTGCTAGGATATGGCCAAATGTTTTGAAGGCTTCCATAAGTAATAGGAAACATGAATCCTTCAAAATAGGTTTGATACTTTAAGCAGATTGTTATCAAACTAGATGCATTTCTATATGTTCATATTCTTACCTCATTCCTATACCTTTTATTTTTCAGATGAGTCATTTGTGATACGTACTATAGAAAGTATTATTGCTGGGATAGTTCTTGAGAAGATGCATGATGAATCGGTACATATGATTTTAAGTACTGTCCATTTACGTGAGATTGTACTTATCAAGTTAAAATCCAGGTCTATAAACTTTACAATACCTTTGTTCGGTTTTGCTCCTGGGATGAACCGCATCAAGCTCCATTCTTGAAAGAGATTTTGCAATATTTGTCAGAAATTTTGAATTCTGATGAATTTCATAATAAATGCTGTAACGAATATGATCAAGGTAGTTAAGCTAAATACCATATTGTTAGTTAAAATTACTTTTTCTATCTATATAACATCATCTCTTAGAAAAATTTCAGGAATACCGTTTCAATCTTGTAAAGTCTTTTGAGTTAGCTGCTTCTTGGTGGTGCTGGGACGATGTGCATTCGAGATATGTTTCAAAAATTCTATGGCCATTGGTAAAAAATGAAAAGGGAAAGGATATTCCTTTAGAGATTATTGGTGCAGTTTGCCGCCCAAGATTGTTTGAAAAAACGGAAAAGGAGGGTGTAGCAGAAATTAGGCGACGAATGACAAGTGCGTTAAATCCGCATAGCCCTGGTAAGTATTATATTGTCATGTTCTCATGAGTATTATCATGTACATTCAATACATTAAACCTTTTGTAGTGTCTTTTTTATTACAAGTTCAATCGGCACAAGTTTTGATTAAGCTCTCTAACGGCGACCCAAAGCATTATCGAGATATCCTGTCTTGGTATTTGCGATTGGAGAACGACAAAGTACAACAGTTGCCACGATTATTTATTAATAATTTGGAATATATGCGATCTTTTTCTTGAATAATCAACGATATCTAATAATTTACGTAAAATATGTCCTCGATTAATTTATTTATATTTAACACAAACTATACGAATAGTTCTATTACTCTGGTTTAAGTCTTTATTTGAAAATAAATAGCCGTTATGCAAGGACATGCGATTTCCGTTATTATAACTTTAGAACTGCTTTTATTTTTAATATACGAAAATTAAGTCGGTTTCAAACTCCAACCTTAATTTTTCGTTTTGATGTTCACTTTACTAGTGCTTCGAGTTGGTTAAAATTTATGCCGATTAGTTTGCAGCTTAATTCAGTGTTGGCAATCTCTTATGGCCAAACAATTTTTTTGGCCTTTGGCCGGCAATAGCCAATGATTAGTTAGGGTTACTATTTAATTTCGGTATAGTCAGCTTACAAGCCAATAAATACACGCAAAAAAGAATTTGTCACATTTAAAACTATATAGATAGATATGCAATGTACGTACAGTACGTAGTATCCCAAACTCATATGCGAATAAATTATTAGCGAAACTATATTATCATTATATTTTGAATAATAATTAGAGTAATTCAATCTTATCTTTATTATCATGACCTTTATTAGAGATGTAAGACGAAC